TTGCATTTCTCAGTATCACTTAAAACCATTCAAGTCTTTCATAACAGCCAATGTATTCTACTCCTGTGGCACCTCACCTGTCCTTGAAAACCACACAGAAATTGAGTGATGACATTTCACTTTCAACATTTTGTGTAAAGATAAAAAATAATGTCAAACAAAATCCTTAAGCCACATTATTGCATGCCTGAAAACTCATCTCATTTTCTCATATGGACACAGGTACCAAAATGATTAATGATTTCTGGCTTCAGAAAAATAAATTAAAAACAATTAAGTCAAGATTGAACCAGTCATTTCACTACCTCAAGAAACCAGATTTATTATTAATTTAGTTCAACTGAAGCAGACAAGTATTTTCACATAATTGCCAACATTGCAAAAAAGTAACTCTTCTACTAGGTCTGTAAAAGTCCCCAAGGCCACAGCATGGTTTACTCTTAACATCAACCACCTCTGAGACATTACTTGGCTGATATTATTCATAGTTAAGTAATTTTATTTTGGAATTGTGTTTTTTAGTAGCTGATCTTCTCCAGAATGAAAAAAAACCAAAACCAAAACCAAAACCAAAACCAAAACCAAAACCAAAACCAAAAACAAAAACAAAAACAAAAATACAAACAAAACCTAGAGAATGGAGGTAAGAAAAAACCCAAAACCTCTCTGGGTACTAGGAAGACAATCTTTTCAAGATGTTTAGGCTCTTTAAAGTTCAGAAACATACTTTAAGTTTCTGAAGTACATGACCAGTTCCTCCTGAACTTTAAACATGTCCCAGCATCTCAATAACTTTGGTATCAGACCACAAAAATTAGCTGCTTAAAAAATACAGTGGTAACCTAGTAAACAACATTCCAATACTTTAAAATGACAATTGATATTTTACCTGAAACAAATATCATTTGCTCTTGCCCCCTCTCAGCAATGATTCAGTATTTAGATTTTACATTGAAAAATACACAGTCTGCACTTAGTGACATAATGCATATGAAACTTTATTCAAAGCAAATCACATGGACAAAGGGAGTTTGTTGGACTCCTCATTGTGCATTTCTATATTCATCTGCACTTCTAGTTTAAAGGCAGCCTCCATAATAAGTCAAAATTAATGAGCTTGTAAAAGAATCAGAGAAAATTTTTGGATGTTTCCTGTAGCCTATTTACTTGCAAGCTTCACAAAGATGTAAACTAAAATAATCTAGATCCTTGCATAGGACTTCTTTAGGATCCTGGATCGTATTTACATATAATGTTGTATCAAGTTTTCAGTGTTAGATACATGTCCGTGATCACCATGATATGGTGCTGTCTGTATGCAGGTCACGCTCAAGGCTACGGTGGCACTCCACTGCACCCCAGAGCAAAGTGCTGAGCAGGGCCATGCCACATGCCCTCCTACCTGTCAGAAATCTCTAACTCCATCCGCCCTAGTCCACCTGCAAGAGAGAAATGAACTTTGCCACCTCAAGCAGGATATTTCCTAAGTACTAGTTTTCAATTTCAGTTGAGGAAACTGATTCTTCTGTTTTAAAACTGTGCAGCATCTTCATTGCTCTTTAATTTCACATAGTCCCCTGAAGCACTTTACTACTGAACAGCCTTTAATATGATTTGAAACAGATACCACTCCAGGGCTTTCTCATCTTCATCACTTGTTTGTTTTGACCTTGACATTTATTCAATTACAACTGATTTGCCAGTCATGCACAACGCTTCCTAAAGTCCATTTCCATACACCAGTGCATAGGCCCATCCAGTTAGCAATGATCAACACATGCCCAAAGTAGGAATCTACAAAACCAAGGAGCATACAAAACAGCTAAGGTGTCTGTCACAAGGCATCTGCTATTTTTTTTCCCACCACTGCTCTCGGTAAATGGAAAATAAGAGAAGCTATGACACTTCTTTTGGCAAATAATAAGCTCCAGCATGGCCTAACTGTCAGATTAATCAGCTTCTTGAAATTTGCCTCAGGAGGAAGCAAAAGGAAAAATGACTCACATTCAGGAAAGCAGGATTCATCCCCGTGAATATCATGGCAGCTCCTCCACAGCTGGGGAAGAGAGGGGAGCACGCAGTCCCTATCACATCTCTGTCACATGCTCAGGGCTGAGAGAGGAAGAATTGTTAAAATTGTCAAGTACCATTCACAAATTTATGCCTGTGGAGTTGTTCCTTCTGGAAGAGAACCAAATAACTCATACTTTTTGAAAATTGCTTATGACAGCTTCTCAGTCTGCTTTAGGCTGGCTCTCAGCGATGATTTGTATTTTCATATACTTCTCATACATTAAGAAATTTACACCTGTCAGGTCCTGACAGAGTGTCTCCATCTTCCACCTTTTCGGGGAAAATTCTTTGCTTGCAGACATTATCCAAATAAGTCTCTATCAGAAGTCTGGGTGACAGAACAGGTGGGGGTCTAAGAAATATGCAGAAGGCAAGCACTGAATTTTAATGAGAGACAGGGGCTTCTGTGCTGGCATAAAAGGGATGGAAATTAAAATACTGATTCCTGTCACTTTAAACTGCTCATGAAGCCCATGGGTAATTCCTAGGGGAAGACATAAATGCCCACTACAAAACTTTCTTTACTACCCAGGCTGACATCAGAATTTTATTTCTATTTATGGAATCATACTTGGGGTCAAAAAAGGGAACTCAGAAAACAAGTCTTCTTAAATAAGCAGGAGGATGGTCATCCCAGCTGGTACACTCACTGATAACAAAATAAATGCCTGTTCCCCACAGCCATAGTGGCCAGAAGAGAGGCCAAAGCATGTGAAGGATGTGAGATGTGCTCAGGCATGGGACTCCTTGTGCACTCAGCCAAGCCCTGACCTGATAATCCTCAGAAAGCTGACAATGAGGAAGACACTATTCACCACAGGAACACTGTGCCTTTGAGTACCTGAAAAAAAGTGAATTTTATGGCTCAGATTCAGTGCTGTGTCAAACACCACAGTCCTCAGCCCAAGTATTTTGTTGAGAAGACCCATAGCAGCATTTCCATCTCTGACAATGCATGCTTGCCACTTGGCCAGCAGCATCTTTACACAGACACTTCTTCAAAAAGCTCACATTTGTCTGCCAGGACAGGGGACATCTGTCTGCAGATCCTTCCCTTCACCTCCCCGTTCCTCAGGATGCCGGAGGTTTCACTCCATGACTGCTCCCAATACCTCATTTTCACAAGGGAGATGGAATTTGCAAGGAATGCAGAGTGACATGACTGCAAGAGGCAGTGGGCAAGAGATGACACCATTGCTCATGTAAGAAAAGCAGGGTGGGACACCTGGTCAAGACCACACCTCCACATGTCAGATGCCAACATAATTTGGGTCAGGAGCATGAGGAAGGGAAGCAAACATCACTCAGTCTTTGTTTCTGACCTCTATTTAGTGCTGGCTGAATGAAGACCTAGACAGGATGTCCAGAGAGGGCTCCTGGCTTCCCTCACCCTTTGGCACTGGAGGGATGAAAGGATATCAGCACCACTGGCAGCTTTGCTTTGCTCCAGTCAGCAGCAAGCAGAAGACAGAGCACACACACTGCTCCCCTGGCCCCCAAGGTCCTTTCTCACTTCCCTGAAAAATGACTCTGTAGGCAAAATAAAAAAAAAAATATGCTCCAGTTGGCAAGGACCACATGGCAACATCACACCTCTCCCGCCTTCCTCCCTAGAAGAGCAAACATTTACATTCTCTCTAACATTGTAAGGCAAGTTATTTCACACCTATTCCTGCTGTAACTAACCATAGTAACACTGCTGGACAGTAATACTTAATTGCCATTGCTTTTACAGTTTAATGAATGGTTGGATTACCAAAGCTAAAAGGACACAATTTGTCAACTGTAAATTAACATTATTCAAATTAACTTTGGACCATGAAGAAGGCTTTTAATGTCACTCATTTATTCCACATTTACTGCCCCTGTTCTGTAATTGATGTGCAAACTGCTGAATTATTTGATTTCTTCAATCTTTTTTTAATTCTTTATTATTCAATACCTTCTCGATACTTTGATTATCCGATACCTTCTACTTTAATGATCTGCCATGCCCAGCTCTTTCAAATGAAGGACTCTGTTAAAAGACAAGTCCCAATTAACCACTCAACAGATTAATTTTTCTTCTTGTCCAGCCCCTACTTCAACCCTATCTTCTCCCTTTGATTGCAGAAGGAACTAAACCACCAATGTCTATATTAGTTTTTGAACCATCTTTTTTGCTCAGGCAAGATGTGAAAGATTTCTTGTTTCCAGCAAGTTCTAAGGGTAAGGGTAATTATAACATAGTGCTGGGGTTAGATGAGACACTCATGTATTTGCTTGAAAGTTTCCAAAAAGGTCACTTCAGCCCCAAAGGTAGTCAAACCAACCCCATTAACAGCACAGTCAGCTACTTGTTGGCATTACCTCTTTCAGAGACCTCTTTTCAAAAGCCACTTTGAGGTTCAGGCTACTGAACCAGCTTTCTTTCATCTAGAGATACTTAAAAAACTCCAAACTTTTTTTTGTGTGAAAAAAAAATTATGAAGTTAATTGTCACGTTTAGACAGACTTTTTATGAAAACACTGCTTTACCTAACTGGAAAAGTATTTCATCACATGCAAAAGGCAGCATTTCTGTCACGTTTCATTTTTCTTTGTAAAAGCACATAAATGAGCATCTTTTTTTCTTTAAAGATGTTGCCAACAAAACAAAACAAAATAAGTTGCCAAGTACTGAAGTAAGGGGTGATACGTATCTGAATGCACACAAAAAATAAAACTGTATCATCCTGTGAATGTTTGCAATGAATTTAATTAGAAATTAACAAATATTTGTAAGTGGAGACAGACATTCTATTCAAAGATACAGCAGCTTGTCAGTCAAGGCACAGCTGATGAACACCTGCTCTAATTCTATATACAGCATAATGCTTTATTGTTTTGTCATACTTGCTTATCTAAGGGAGCCTCATCACAGGATTTGATGATGTGCCAGCATAAAGGCTTGGAAGATGTTGAAATTGGTCTGAACATCATGCAGTGAAAAAACTGGATGAGGACAAAAAGACATGAAAAGTAAGGAAAGTAAGAAATATAATAAGTATGGTAAGTACTTTGGGGTTTTAGCCACTTTTTTTAAAGTGGCATCTTTATTTGTGTTGGGAAAAAGAATGAAACTCCCTTTAAATGTCAAAGCAGGCAGAACTACATTGGGGAAAGTTCAAAGTACCATGAAGTGGGGAAAAAACAAGCATACATGCAAGGTAACATTGAAATGAAAATTACAGGCAAAATGCAGAGTAAATGAGAGCAAAAGAAGCTATGGTAAAATTAATTGTGGTTGAGAGAAGAAGCCAAATGCAAAAAAGTGAGTGAGATGCTTCTGACACTGATGTTAAAAATGAGTGCTGCAAATGAAGTCAGTGAAATCAGCAAATTTGGCATGTTTTGTATATAGGAGTGCAAAAACCCATGTTTGTCACTGTTAGTGACTGACTGGTGCACATTCACATCATAACAACATTCATTTCTTTTCTAATAAACCAATATCTTTCAGTTTCAGAAACTGAAAACTTGCTTCTGATTTTTTAATGGAGATGACCTTCCTTTGTCCTCTTAAAATACTAAACCCAAAACTCCTGTAACAGCTACAGTGCAGTAGCTTGAGAGTGATCAGTCCACCCACATAGACTGGAAGGAAGATTGTAAGGCACCGGGGTGAAAGGCAAGATATAGATATAGTTTTCTTTTTTTTTCCTCAATCTTCACATGTTTAAATCAATCAAGACATTTAGGTAGCTTATTATTTAGCTAGAACTAAATCCTTATATTCTCCATGCAAATATCTCTACTACTTTGTTACTCATGTACTCAAGTACCTCATTACATAGTATCTGAAATGAGATTGTAAAGTTCACAAGCATTCACAGGTTTTTCACGTACCTCTTTTTCCCCTCTGATTATATTCCTTCCTAAGTGCTTGGTAGCTTAAAAAAAAAATGAAGGCAGGCAGAAATTTAGCAGTAGCTGATCATCCCAAATTATTTCTCCTTTTTCTATTAAATGTTTTCCACCAACCAATAAACAGTAGCTGAAAATTATCTCAGCACAAGAAATCCACTTCTAAAAATGGAAATGAATTTCAACATGATATTATTAATTACCATAAAGCAATTAAAAATTTCAGGGATTATTTTTGTTCAGTGTCTCGTGTTTTGTAATTTTGTTTAAGCCAGCCTACCAGGCAGCTAAAGTAGGTTTGAATAGAATATTGCCCCAAAGCCAAAAATCATGAACATCCTTTATTATTGAGCTTATTAGATGGATCACTGAAAGAGAAGAGCAATCCCAATCAGTGTTGTAAGCATCCCAATTTCGATTTGTTTCTATATCAGAAAGCGACTTGCTTTCTCCCAAAGTCAGAAAGGCTCTTCAGGCTGCAGACAGAACAGACACAAAAGAGTCTGCTGGTATGGTTGTTTTCCTCCTCAGCAGCAAAGGCAGCCACGTGCCCTAGCGAGTGCCTGATCTCTGGTCAAGCCAAGTAAAGCCTCCTGCACTCATACTTGGACTCTCACAAATCCTCTTAGGAGCCACTGAGGGAGCTGGGGCTGTCAAGCCTTAAGAAAAGGAGGGGAAACCTTACCACTCTCTACAACTACCTGAAATGAGGTTGTAGCAAGGTGAGAGTCAGTCTGCCTTCCCAGGTGAAGTGACAGGACAAGAGGAAATGGCCTCAAGCTGGTGAGGTATCAGGGGAGGTTTAGACTGGATATCAGGAAAAAAACTCTTCATTAAAAGGGTGATCAAGCACTGGAACAGGCTGCTGAGTTCAGAAACCCTGGAGGTATTTAAAAGGTGTGTAGATGTGGCACTTTGGGACATGGTTTAGTGGTGGAGTGGTGGGCTTGGTAGTGCTGGGTTAATGGTTGAACTCAATGATCTTAGAGGTCTTTTCCAATCTAAATAATTATGTGACTGTATGATATCCTTGCTGAACTGCCTTTGACCAAGGCTATATTAGAGCCTTAAAACCAGATGCTTGAAATCAAGCGATGCTGGCCTCATAAGCTCTACAAGAGGCAAACCACACGTGACACACACATGCCTTGAAAACATGCTGTCCTGACGGAGCACTCTCCAGCAAGACTGTGAGTCAGTGTCAGCCCTACAGCAGAGAGCTTGCCTCATAGCCTCCACCATGGCCCAGCCTCTGAGTGAGCTTGGCCCTGGGAGACACCCTATTGCCCTGATCAGGCTTTCTTTCAAAGAAGCACCTTTATGGGGCAGAAAAAAGAGTTGTCCCATGCTGTGCTCCTGTAAAACATGATGCGCTAAGCAGCAGCGGCAGTAGGTGACCATTTTACCACAGCTTGGAGTGTGCTTGTTCATCAACCATCAGCATAATTCTTCTTCACACATAACTGTTTTCATCTCATTAACATGTCAGTGTGCTGCTACACAAACAGCAGGCTGGGGAAGCTGAGAGACCAGGTGGAACATGCATAAGATGGAACATGCACAACGGATAACCTACAAAGTAAGTGGAATATGTGTGTCGTCAGTTCACGTGTTGAAAATGGGAAGTCTCGTCCTTCACCTTGCAACTCCAGTGTTGTGTCTGTAAGAACTACTGGGAAGTTCTCCCGTATCACTGTGCCTAAACTCCACTGCAATACTGCGGTTTCACAGGTTACAAAAATAAATGAACAGTTTTTGGTGAAAGATGAAGGAAAAAGGACATGATGATGACATATCTGCTTCCACCTTTTGTGATTTTTTCATCTTTTCAATTAAATTGACATAGTCAAGTCAAAGTTGGATGAAATAAATAAAAACCCAAGAAAGGGAAGAATATAAATACTATAAATTCACTATAAATATAAGAGGAAAATTCAGCACATGACTACCAGTATTAATTTAGGACTTAGTCTTTAAAGGAACATAAATGCACAGCTTGGGATATTCCACATTTATCCCTGTCTAATAGCTTCAGTGTCCATCATTCCCCAGTCAAAAATTCTGAGGGAATTCTTCAACTTTTTTCTTTAGCACTGGCTGTAGCATTTGTCTGTTCTTCATGATTTCCTCAGATAAAATTTCCTACAGAACTCACTCTCTGAAAGACATAAAAGTCTTTTCTTTGATGGCAGCTGAGAGTTTTACCAGGAAAAAAGGAACTACCTCTGTTTTGTCATACCCAGAAATTCATTTGAGGGATATAGAGTCCATTTTTCATGCCTGTGTCAGACAGCTAAAAAAAAAAAAGAAAAAAAGCTAATTATATGATCCCAAATGAAAAAGATCCCAAGCAGCTGGAGGAATTATTGAGATCTTCCCTCTCTGCTCTTAACACCACATGGGACAGCTAATGTGGAGCAGCCTTTATTGCTTTCCTTGCATGTCCTGACAATGACACTGAACTCACACACAGATTTAACAAATGGAGAAGCAGGAGGGTATATAGCAAAGGCCCCTAAACCCCCTGTGCACTCCAACCCCCTGTTTGCCAGAGAACACTCAGCTCTTCCTGCTGAGAGCCAGGACATCAGTTGCAGAGGAAAAGATGCCCCCAGGGACAGAAGCAAGCCCTTCTCTCATGGCTGGGTAGACAACCTCTCCAATGTGAGCCTCTATTCACCATCAGATCTATAGTCAGGCGAGTGTGACACCTCTGCTCCTCTTCATAACTTCTCAGAGGAACAACAGAGAGGAGTTAACAAGGCAAGGGAATGACAGAAGGATTGCTCCAATTTGAGGATACTAGCCTTGCTCAATAAAACGATGTTCAGCAGACACAGTAACTGGGGAAGGACTAATGGTTTGGGGTATAACAGCAGACTGTTTCTCCTCTCAGGGCAGTCAAGTAGTTGGAAAGTAAAATATTAGAAGAAAGTTGTTGATTGAAGAAAAAGAGAAAAGAGAAAAGAATTACATTTTCCCACTCTCCCAGGAACCATGGTAGGACTAGCTGCCCCTAGTCTGCTAAAAGCATACAGAATCTTTAGCCTTGCAGAGAAGTCCACAAATGAAAACTTAATAGAAACTTCTGAACCCATCTTATTCCTTAAAATGGAAATGAATTATTCAGATTTGGCCTTCCTAGTGAAGTTTTCGCTTCCTACTGAGGTTTTTCACTGCTTCAATCATTAGAAACTTTATTTCTTTGCCCAGCACATGCCTAATCATTTTTTTAAGTCTCAGGACAGTGTGAATGCCTCTCATGGAAATCTTCACAAGTGTGTATCTGTCCTTCCAGGAGATAAGCAGAGAGGCTCTCTTTCTCACTCAGAACACCACACATAGGGATTTTATAATCAGATACACTCAGAAGAAAACAAAATGTGAAAATAGAAATAGATAATAGTTTTCCCCTCAGAGTTTTAAGTATAAAGTAAAAGCCACCACATTTTTACAGGCAATAGAGCAATCATGATCAAAATGCCTGTGTCTTTACCTCATTCTTTTTTTTTTTTGTAAACTTTGCCCTGATTTAAACAATAATCTTATTTTTGTGGCTGATCTCTGTTTAGTATCAAATGAATCAATCTTCTATTCTTTCCATCTAAAATGGACTTGGTAATTGTTAATAGAAGATTCAAAGGAAAATAGTAAAATGCCATTTTTCATTTCTCTTTTCAGCACCAAACAAGTGACTGGGAAATGAAAAAACCCACGGATTATACAGAGCACTGATGCTGGCTTCATTTACACTTCTGGTCTTTACACAATGGTTGCTGTCCAATTCAGAAACAAGGATAAAAAAATTTGCCAAACACTTTTGAAATTCTTCCTCCAAAGCTACTTGCCACTTTTTTTTTTCTAATAGATTTTGAAATAAATAAGACAGGTTCTTAATGCAATTTAAAATTAAGAATCACGTATTTTTGCTGAGAAAGTTAAGAAGCACATGCCTAAAAATTACCCATAAGCATTCCTGTCCTGGCAAAAAAAAAAAAAATACACTATCCATATTAAGCTAATGACTGACAGCAGACAATTTCATGATAATATTTTCAGATAGATTTTTTCCCCGTGACAATTTTGTGTGGTCACAGAATCTTCCTTTCACCAGACTAATACTTAAGCTTCTATCTTTCTTTGTCTGCTAGTTCTGCTCTGTCAAATCTAGTAATATCCATTATATTGCTAAAGTCTTATAAAAAGAAACAGGTTACCCAAAAAGGAAATATTATGGTCTATTCCATTAAACACAGTAAAACTTTAAATCTCACATAAAAATAGGTCATCCAATTACATGGCAAAAATGACATTTTTTCATTGTCCAGTACACAATATATTTACAGGAAAATTACCAGAAACTCCTCAGCTGTATCAGATCTGAACCTTATATTTAGATGCAGTCATATATTACTGCTGATAATGTGATGCCAGTGAATAGATTGGAATTTTTCACTGTCCTTTATCAAGATAAATTGTTCTGTCAATAGCAAATGGCTGGCAAATATTAACACTCTGCACACTATATGACTTTTCATTCCAAGCAAAAATTGTATTTAATGCTTTTTCACAAAATCCATGGCCGTGACTATCCCTATTACCTATTTAACTACCTTTTAAAAGGAGAATTTATTTCTGCAAATTAGGATCTGGGTAACAAGACGGTATCATGCATCATAAACTTTAAGTCAATACAAGGCAGGACACTTGCAGTTCAAATGGGGAAGTACCTTTCTCTCATCATCTGGCCATCCAATAGCATTATCAAGCTGTGGTGGGAGCAGCTGCTCAGAGCAGAACTTTATCTTGGCGTTCTTCCACCTACAACACCACCACATCCCACAGTAGCCATTTGCTCATTGGCCTATTACTTTCAATAGGTATTCCAGTAATTGGCTATTTCACACTTGTAAGGCTTGAACTGGCAGAGTGCAAAGGGCAGCCAAGCAGCCTGTCAGGGTCCTGCACGCCGGTCATCCATCAATTATCATCTGCTATTACAAGACAGAGCAAGTGCTCTGAAACCTTGTTGGCTTGGATCAGCTTTGCTACGGGTGTAATTTATCCCCAAACCATGTTAAGTTCCTATCTGAAGAATGAGGTGGTTGCTATGAAATGAGTAACACGTTTGATGGTTGGCATGTGCTGGGGAGGGAGGCAGCGGGGGAGACAGTGTTGATTATCTGGACGATTGTAGCTCCTGTTGGGTTCTGTGGCCACCTGCTGTCCTACACCCACCCCCTTTGCTAAGAAATACTCAAAACCAGAAAAATACAGTTTGTTTTGTAAATGATGACTTCAAAGGAAACAATAAAGGTCCTGGCTACAGGAGCCCAGAAAGGCTGAGCACACTGCTGGTATTTGCTGTAAATTGTTCTGTAACTGCATTTATGACAGAGAGAAACGCATCTGGAAGAAAAAAAGGGTCAAAACATTATGGTAGTTTAGAAAGTTACAGTGATTGTAACACTAATCCCTTTTCTGCTTTAACGTGGCAGTCTGAGAAGCTCCATTTGCAACGAAGTCAGATTTGATCTCTCACATCTCCTGCAGCATTTTATTCCGCATCTTTCAACAACAGGCTTTTTCATTACCCCCATTTAAATAGCAAAAAGGCATACAAATCTTTTCTCATCTTATTTCCTGTTCACTAGATGCCCCAGTTCTAGGTAATATCATTTAATGGTGGCTGGGGTTTATTATCTACCAGCTTCCTGTACAAACAACCCAGACAACTTCCTCCCAAAGGCCAAATTTATCTGTTAACCTGCTGATACACAAAGTGGTCTCTCACCTTGCAAGTACTTAACTTGAGCAAAGTAAATTATTTTAAGAAATAAACAAACTCCTCTATTATAAGTGCTAATAAAATCCCAAGTAATTAAAAAAGATGAGAAAAAAATCACATTCTTCTTAAGAGCAAAGTGATTTAGAAAGCTGGTAAGAGTGTTTAAAAATCAATTCTGAACTTTGAGAGGACATGACTAAGGCTCTTAATAAATCCACCTTCAAATAAATCTAAGTTATACACCCTTACTAGCTGAATAAATGAAGTGACACTGACGCATATCTAATTGTAATACATCACAAGATAATCTGTCAAGCCACAAGTGTTCAGGTCCTGTCACCCTTCTTCATCCATTATTTATACATAACCTTCATTGCCAGTGAAATCCCTATGAAGTATAGCTTGGCATCCAAATGCAGCCATTTTAGTCACTCAGCAGATACAGTCAGGAATTAAACCTGTACAAACTCTCCAAAATAGCTGTTACTCTGCTGGAGAGAGAGAAATGAGAAATGAACAAACATGCAGGAGTGACAACTGTTTTCTGCTTTTCTTAATGGACTGAAGAGCTAACAGCCCTGTGTCTTTGCAGTGGACTTTGGGGCATACCTTACTGTCAAAGTTTCCTTTATATTCATTTCAAGATGCTTTCTGGGCTCTCTCTAACCTTTATCTTATTTCAGACAGGGAGGCTCACCTAGAAACACATCTCAGTGCTCATAACAGCATCTGCTGTGGAAATAGGCAAGCAAACTAATGGAGCACTGCAGTATTTTTTACTCCAAACTTGCCAAAGATGTGTGAAGGGCAAACAGTTGGACATATTTACATACATTCATGATCCAGAAAGTCTCAGTTCAGCAGCTGCTGCAGCAAAGGCAATTCTTCCCTGTTAGCCTGCTCCACGAGCACAGCTCTGCTTCCCATCCTGCTAAGAGTGATGGGCGGATTGCAGGGAAAGCCACCAGAGCAATAGCCTGGCTGAGGCTTTTTCACTGGCGCTTATTTTAGTAACTGAAGCAACAAATTCTTAATCACCATTTTATTGAGGAAGAAACAGGGGTTCCTCTCCCTGTTCCTCTTCTTCCCCCAAGGCACACATAGACACTTTCTAAATGTGAGAATAAAGATGCACAATTCACAGTATTTCAGCAGTTCAGCCAGGACCTCTGCTTAACTCAGGAGGCTGCAATAACAACCACAATCTGTTTCAGGCATGCAGCACTAGAAAATTAAAGGTTCTGTAAATTACATGGCTATATTCCTCCCACAGCCCAATTAAAGGCTTTATTATTTGTCAATAAAGTACCAAATAAAAAAGGTATCCTCCAGATAAGGCAGCTGTTGCTATTTGGCTCTGGTGAACCTTTATTTATGTTCTGTAAGTTTGCAGCATGAAAGTTGCTGATAGGCCATGCATGTTATTACCAGGTGTCCCACAGAAATGCTCATGTCCCCAGGGCCAAGTCCTCAATAGCACACATCTTTTCCAGCACACACACAGTCTATTCACATGCCGTGTGATTCGTGTTATCACTTTCTGCCTTTCAAGCCCTGAAACAGCAGACACTGCCTCCCCTCTAACACAGCATCCTCCAGCATCGCCGACCCCTGTAGTGAGCCAATGCCTGCTCTAGCTGCCTCTTGGTATGACACTGGTATGCCCAAGGGTGTCCAAAGATATAAGCAAGGGTTTTCCTTGTATATCAAAAAGTATAAAGGATCAGGCCCCTGAGCAATACCCTCATCTTGCTGAGAGTTGTTATCACGAATTCCTAGACTAAAAAGTTTGGCTGATGTTGTCTTTGATGCCCATATTCTGGTCCCTCCCCTGCCCCCAGCTTCCCAGAAGTACCTTTGCAGAGCTGAAGCTTCTCTCTTCTTCCTTATCACCTTTTTTTTTTTTTTTTTTTTTTTTTTTTTAATCATTTAAAGAGCAATGGCTTATGGGCTTTTACTATGGTTGTATGTTTTCATCCCTAGAAAATGGTAACAGCACTCAGGAACTGAGGCATTAAGACATCAACACAGCACTCCCATAGCTTAATGTGCACAATTCTCTCCTCTTCCCCTGCTTTTTTAATTTCAGGCACTTCCGACTTCTTGTTTGGGCTTCTGAGTGATGCAAGCGTGTAATTAGTGAAAAAAAGGCATTAACATCTGCAAGGCACTCTTCAAATATCAAAAAATCAAGCTATGCAAGTTTGCTTGCTGTTTCTTGTAATCACAACATTAATTTCTTACTTTTGGGGAAAAATAACACTCCTCTATTTCACAGATGATGGCAGAGCTAAAAATTAATTTAAGATGATAATGCTACATGAAAATAAAAACCTCCTCTGATTGAATTTCAAGGACTCTTCTGTTTAACTAGCTTCAAGAGTCCTTTTTTTGATCATAATAAAATTATTTGCCATATGGTTCAGATGCTTGTGATCCTCTCTCAATGAGAGGATTATGCATGAGATATAATGCCTACTGTAGCTGCAGCCAAGCACACAGCTGGCTCTGATAATGCCAACAAATGGCTTCATCTATCTCAGTGTCACGTAGGAGCTGGTGTGATGTGAATCAGCCTAGAGTACAATTAAAATCTACATCATCTGTGAGAAAGGTGATGGAGGTTCTGACATCAGAGCTGTGCCAGATTCATCCTCTTTCCATTGTAACAGAAGAAACATGTTGCCCCTTTCACCCTGTCACACTAATGATGTGCTTTGCACATCCCTTCCTGTGCACATTAAAGGTAGTAAATCAGGGAGACTCCTATTTAAAGGCTTCGCCTTTATCTGACATTCAGTAACGAGGACAATTTCTAAATTTAAGTGCATTCTTTTCTCCCCCCTCTGTGATGAGATAATGCCACTTGAAGTCTATGAGTGAAATATGCATAGAGGAGTTTATGATCCATATGGATGCAAATTGTGACAGTATGCAAGAATTTCCTTGTTTTAGTTCCACAATATCTAGTCACACTAATAAAACCAGGCTTGCAAATCTATTTCTTCCACCAAACCAAATTTAATTGCAGAAAATGGCCATAATT